TCTTCTTATCCCTTGTTTAGCAGTCATTTTGCTTAACAATCGGTCTTCCAGGAACACATCCCAATCATTAAATGGGGGATACCTGTATCATGGTTGTGTTTCATAGTGAAATACTGAAGGTTCTGTAAAATATATCTATATCTTTTTCAAACTTTTAAATATACTGTACATGGGGTCCCCGACTCACAAACGCCCACCGATACGAACGAGGTCCCATGAGGTCAATTACTTAAAAAATCCGAAATAAGTAACAATGGTTCGTAGCAGTTAAGCATGAGAACTAGTCTGCCCAGCGTAGAGAGGAGGCAGAGCGGTGTGTGGGGAGTGATGCGTCGCACCCAGACACCCGCCTTCAGGCAGCGGAAGCATCAGTACTTTTTACCCTCATCGCCTAAACATGCATGATCAAGTGCAAACTGTTTTTTTCTTCTTATTAACTCTCTTTTTTGGCCCTCATCATGGCTCCCAAATGCAAACCTGATGCAAGTGATAGCAGTGCATCCAAGAAAAGGAAAAAAATTACAGTGGAAGTGAAATTTGATGTAATTAAAAGTTCTGAAAAAGGCAAAACACCCTCAGTGATCGGTAAGGCGTTGGGTTTCAGTAGTTCAATGGTTGGAACAAATATGAAAGACAAGAGAAAATTCTTTAATTTGTAAAAGGATCTACACCAATGCACTCAACTGTGATAACTAAACAAAATTAGTGGATTGTTAATTGAAATGGAAAGATGGTTAGTGATATGGGTGGAAGATTATAATCAACAGGATTTGCTTCTAAGTCTAACCTTGATTCAGGAAAAAGCGAGAAGCTTGCACGCTGACTTGAAGGCTAAATGTGATGGTGAAAGTGATGGGGAGGATTTTGTTGCAAGTAGGGGCTGGTTTAACCGGTTCAAGGTTAGGGCAAATGGTGTTTGGAAAAAACCAAAATTTCAGGGGCTCTGAAAATGATGTTGGGGAAGTGACACGGGCACAGGATATCATCACACAGTTGTTTGAGTCTCATGCCGAAGAATTAAGCAATGAGGACCTGATTAAACTGGAGAAGCAAATTTTATCAGAGGATGTAGAGTAAGCTTATATAAGCTGTGGGTAGAGCTCCCTTTTAACTTGGCATATACAGTGGTCCCTCGGTTAACGAGCGCCTCAGTTAACGAAATTTCGGTTAACGAACTGCCTCCCATAAGATTCTTAAATTCGGTTAACGAATTTCTTACGAGCCGACCTCAACATGTTTTCGCTTGCACTGGCCGGTCAACCAGCTGTAGTATTAGTCCGCCAATACATAAATTGGCTCTAGGGTTTAAATTCCTTACTATTTTAGTATATATCAAGAAGTTTATACTACGTATTCAATAATTTTAAAAGTTTAATATTCAATTTTTTTGTAATTTTAACAATTATTGAACATAATTGAAGGTAAAGTGACTAGTTTAATGCGCGGCATCCAGCCTCTTAACACAGCAAACAGGCGTTAGTCTCTCTCTGTTTTCACTGGAGGTAACATCTTGCTTGAGACTCTTCAACTAAACGCTTTTTTTCTGTGTTTCCAAGCAAATTATTGGTCATTTTGAAATATATTTTACATATTGACAATATATAATGGAGTGCAGTGTTGATTTAAAGAAAATAATCTTGAAATACACCAAGAGAACTAAAATTTTATGGGTGAAATGGTGCCATGGGGTGACTTCTCTTCCACCCCAATGCCTTCTCTTCTTCCTTCTCCTCCACCCCCATTCTAATTCCCATCATCATCATCATCATCATCCAGGAGCCTTCTACATACACACCTCAAAGTAAGCGTACTTTTCTACCATTTTTTTTTAATTTAGGCAATTTTCGGTGAGCTGGAACCAATTACCCAAAAACCCAATGAAACAATGGTTTCGGTTAACGAATTTTTCGGTTAACGAACAACCTGCTGGAACGGATTGTGTTCGTTAACCGAGGGACCACTGTATATAAATAAGTTAAGGGGTTAAGTTACAAACCCAAAATGGTCTTTTCTCCATTTATTGACAAACTGAAAATGTCACAGGCAATTAGTATAAGCACCGTAATTAACACTGTAGGCTGCGAGTGTTACTTGAGGACAGGGCTCAGCTGGGCTGAGTTAAGTCACCCGTCCAATTCTCGTGAAAGTCAAGTGTGAACTGAGGTCATGAGGACTGGTGCCTGTGATGGGAGGTGTCTCTGAGAAGATGCCTGGTTAACCCTACAATCTCAAGGTCAGCCTAGGAATTTCCCCTCACGTGAACAGCACAAGGCACCTCACAGCTTATGGAAGATTACAGAAGGGTGATTGTATTGTATAAACTAAATGTATTAACCCAAATTTATATGATTGTTATTGCCATGAGACAAGGGCTAATACAAGCTGAAACTCCAGAACCAAAGGGATTCATTACAAGAGAAATGGCAGATGTTTCAGGCTTATTGATGAAGGATTGTTTAAATTTAAACAGCAAGATACCAACACAGCCAGATTCACCAAGATTCATAGAGGTATTACTGAATATCTACAATGCTACAGAGAGATTTATGATAAAAAGAAGAAAGTTTCAGTTCAACCATCCCAATAATGCCTCTGTCACTCCTACAAATGCCCATCTCTACATGCAAGGCAGTCCCAGGTTTCAATGTACACCTGTACAGTAAGTGTTAAACTTTAAATTTTATTCTTATTTCCTGTATTTTGTCATTCAATTTCTTTTCTCTTAAATTAAGTGATTCGAGATGTATAAAAGGACTTGGGCTATGATATAGTGCACATAGGGTATGTGTTCCGACTACGTACATTTCTAACTTAAGAATGGCTTCAGGAACTGAACCCATTCATAACCTGGGGATCCCGTGTATAAAGAAAAATTATAATCGCATGAGCTCAACTAGAACCTTCTAAATGCATAGAGATGCTTATAGCGAGTTGTTTATATATGCATGTACGGTAATTATTTTAGACATCAACCCAAATTGTGCATAATGGGCGCAAGAGACCTACCAGCACTATGCCAAGGACACTTTGAATCAAGAAACAGCAAATGAGTGCAATTTTTATAGGTGAAATTACACATTTTTAAACAATATGAGCATGGTGAAGGAACAACAGTTGACATACAGAAGAGAGAGTGAGGACATACACATATACTCAATAAATCACCACAATCTATACAATTCTTTTATCATTCCTATACTTTTTATCGGACATCATAATAATAAAAATGAGAATAGATAAAAGTGGTTCCTAAGTGATGTGAAGTGGGTGGTCAGTTGAGGAATGGCTTATAAGTGTTTTTATTATAAGTGTGCAACAAAAGACTGAGCATGGCTTAGGATGTTGCCGAATGTGTGTGAGGCTTCAAGAACTTTTGAGAAATTTCAAACAAATTTCAGGTGAAGCAATGCTCAGTTTTAAAGTAAAATACCTACTTATCTACTTATACAGTTCCAGATGCCACTTGTGAATACAAAACTGCCAATACTAGATACATGAATAACAGGGCATAAGAAGGACCATACTTTACCTTTTAGCTGTATATGCATTCATTGCATTTTCCATTAGTCTGCACATATTACTATACAGTATTACCCCGCTTTACACGGTTTCACTTTCCGCGATTTCTCATTTACGCAGTACCTTGCCAGAACCGGACTTTCACTTTCCGCGGTGCATCTACTCATATACGCGGTGAAGTATAATTTTTTTTTTATTTAGCTCATAAAATTCATACAAATTACCCGGCCAGAATATAATTTACATTGCTGGAATTCTTACAATATGATGATCATTTTGAATATAAACATCATGGATTTTGCATTAGACACGCAAATTTTAGATCTTGTGTAATAATTTGGTTCACACAAGGTAAATATTTTATCTTTTGAGCAAAATATATGAAGTTTACATTCAAAATATTCCCTGACCTGCAAGGAATCCAGAAATGTCAATTATATTATCCTAACTTTAGTCTGAGGTATTATTTATTACTAAAAGTTAAGATCTAGTTTTTTCACCAACATTTCTCTGGTAGGGAGGGAAGGTGAGGGGGTGGGGGGGGGGGGTGGGGGGGGGGTGGGTTGGGACCCACAGACCCAGCTGGCGGAGTGTGAGGAGAGGGGGAGGCAAGGTGGGGTACTTTGATTGACAGATAGTGTCATGAAGAATATTTTTTTTTTATTAACTGAAGATATTTGTTTTAGCTCATAAAATTCATACAAATTACTCGACCAGAATATAATTTACATTGCTGGGATTCTTACAATATGATGATCATTTTGAATATAAACATCATGGATTTTGCATTAGACATACAAATTTTAGATCTAATGTAATAATTTGGCTTACACAAAGCAAGTATCTTATCTTTTGTGCAAAATATATGAAGTTTTCATTCAAAATATTCCCTGACCTGCAAGGAATCCAGAAATGTCAATTATATTATTCTAACTTTAGTCTGAGGTATTATTTATTACTAAACGTTAAAATCTAGTGCTTTCACCCAATCGTTTCTCAGAGAGGTAAGAGCTAGTGAGCTGGGAAGAGGGGGGGGGGGGATTTGAGTCCATTATTTGAATGGACATAAACCTGGCGACTGTATTTCTCTTAAATATTAATTGCGTGAGCATACCATCATAAAATTTAGATGTTATTTTTACTACAACATAGGTATTGTGTATAGGTATTGTGTGGGAAAAAGTGGAGGGAAAAAGTGGAGTTTTGGGGTCGGGCCAGTCTCTATTGGAATTAATCCCATATGTTCTGTTGTTCACTTTACGCGGTTTTCACTTTCCGCGGTACCCTGTGGGTTCAATTGACCGCGTAAATCGGGGTACTACTGTAATTTACAATTAATTCCTGATGCTAGAAATTTATTTAATATGATGGTTCATTCTTATGAAGAATTTTTCTTAAATATTCTGATTATTGTGGTCTGAATTAAATGGCAAAAATGTAATATACAAAACTGTACTGTATAATACTTAAACTGTACTTACTTTTTTCAATTCTTTTAAAACTTGAGATGAATTAGGCCCATAAATATGACCCAAATGATCAGGTTCTTCATGGTAAAGAAAGATAAGGTTGGCAGGAGTCTGTTCATTTGTAAACCACTGGATGCTTGTATCTATGCTTTCTTTTAATGCAGCTCGTTCATGATATGGAGACCAGAATGTCACATTTTTTCCACGGTATGCAAAATCGCAGCCTGGCCACATGATGCACCCACTATGTCCTCCATGCTCCTCATTTAATGTCTGCAAATAAGAGACAACAGATTATGTTTTTATCTTCACACTCATCTTACTGTACATAAAGTACAATACAGTACTGGTATGGGACTATTTATCCGGCATATAGTAATACCTCGCTTTACGCGATTCTACATTTACGCAGTACCTTGCCAGAACCGGAATTTCATTTTACGCAGTGCATCTACTCATATAAGCGGGTGAAGTATAATTTTTGTATTTACCTCATAAAATTCATACAAATTACCCGGCCAGAATATAATTTACATTGCTAGAATTCTTACAATATGATGATCATTTTGAATATAAACATCATGAATTTGCATTCGACATACAAATTTTAGATCTAATGTAATAATTTGGCTTACACAAAGCAAATATTTTATCTTTTGTGCAAAATATATGAAGTTTACATTCAAAATATTCCCTGACCTGCAAGGAATCCAGAAATGTCAATTATATTATCCTAACTTTAGTCTGATGTATTATTTATTACTAAAAATGTAAATATACTGTTTTCTCCCAAAGATTTCTCTGGTAGGGAGGGAAGGTGGGGGTGGGGGGTAGGAAGGGACCCAGCGAGCTGGGAAGAGGGGGGGAAATAAAATAAACTAACAATTAAATACAGTGGTCCCTCGGTTAACGAGCGCCTCGGTTAACGAGATTTCGGTTTACGATTTACCTTCCATAAGATTCTTAACTTCGGTTAACGAGCAATCCCTCGATTAACGAGTATTTTACGAGCTGACTTCAACATGTTTTCGGTTGCATTTGGCGGTCCACCAGCTGTAGTATTAGTCCGTCAATACAGTAATCGGTTTTAGGGCTTAAATTCCTTACTATTTTAGTAAATATCAAGAAGTTTATACTATTCAATAATTTTAAAAGTTTAATATTAACTTTTTTAGTCATTTTAACAATTATTGAACATAATTGAAGGTAAAGAAACTAGTTTCTGGCGTGCCATCCAGCCTGTTAACACACCAGACAGGCGTTAGTCTCTCTCTGTTTTCAGTGGAGGTAACATCTTGCTTGAGACTCTCTTCAACTACGGTAAACGCTTTTTTCTGTTTCCAAGCAAATTATTGGTAATTTTGAAATATATTTTACATATTGACAATATATAATGCAGTGCAGTGTTGATTTAAAGAAAATAATCTTGAAATACATCAAGAGAACTAAAATTTTATGGGTGAAATGGTGCCATGGGGTGACTTCTCTTCCACCCCAATGCCTTCTCTTCTTCCTTCTCCTCCACCCCCATTCTAATTCCCATTAACATCATCATCATCCAGGAGCCTTCTACATACACACCTCAAAGTAAGTGTACTTTTCTACCTTTTTCGTTGAATTTAGGCAATTTTCGGTGAGCTGGAACCAATTACCCAAAAACCCATTGAAACAATGGTTTCGGTTAACGAGCAACCTGCTGGAACGGATTGTGCTCGTTAACCGAGGGACCACTGTACTGGGATGCTGGATGAACGGTCCCATACCTATACAGTACAGTACTGTATTACAAAATAATGTTTATGACTCTTCCCAGCAGATTTAACCTAAATTTTTATTATCAGCTGTTCTGAAGCAATAGACTCTTAACAAACCTGTAAACCCAGAAACAGTCTAACTTCAAAAGTATCTGATTGAGTTATGGATGTATAAATCTGAAATGGAAAATTACTATTAAGCATTGACTTTATCCTGACTTGTTTTGGGATTAAAGAGAAAATTTATAACTATTATACATCACTGTATTCACAAACATATTAATTTAGTCATTACGGCATGAGTAGAGAAAGTGAATCTAAGTGGATGAAAGGCAGAGGAACAACAAAGTCAACAAAATCAATTATCCATCGAGAAAAAGAAATGAATTCATTCGTGCCTAATAGAGTATAGCCAACTATACTACGGTACTATAGGATAACACAAACCAACTTTTATATTAATTTCACTCACATTTTCCCAAACACATAACTAAACATGCACTTGCCTATAAATAAGTAAATGAGTACACAAGAGAAGGCCACTTGCCCTTCAAAATATGTCACTCTTAAATACCAGCTAATAAATTGATTTTCTGAACCCTGCTGCAAACCTTTACCCAAAATTTTTATCTAAAACTGGAATGAAACGAGTGAAACAATGACTTATATTTCTAGTGTTTTCTGTTTGAAGTAACATAGTGTACATTAATCTATTCACTTACACATGCCAATACCTGCACATACCATGAGGTGATGGCAGAATAGAAATTAAAAAACAATTGCAAATCCATGTACAGTGAGAGAATTAAGTATCTTCCCGGGCTTTTGACGAGTACTGTACTATATCACAGAACAGTTGAGCCATTCAACACACACATGTGTGAAGCCCATATATAGTTGGCAGGCCGAAGGGACCTTGGAAAGGGATCACTATTGACACCATTCACTGTGTTGGGTAGTCAGGTTTCATTACGCTTCAACGCTTCAGCCAAAGATGGGAAGATACTTCATTCTCTCACTGTAGGAACCAGGGAGGAGGGGTGGAGGGCACCAGCGGGTGGGTAGAGGGCACCAGCGGGTGGGTGGAGGGCACCAGCGGGTGGGTGGAGGGTACCAGGGATGGGTGGAGGGTACCAGGGGTGGGTGGAGGGCACCAGGGATGGGTAGAGGGCACCTAGGGTGGGTAGAGGGCACCAAGGATGGGTGGAGGGCATCAGAGGTGGGTGGAAGGCACCAGGGGTGGGTGAAGAACACCAGGGGTGGGTGAAGAAACACCAGGGTGGGTGAAGAACTCCAGGGGTTGGTGGAAGGCACCAGGGGGATGGAAGGCCCAGGGAGGGTAGAGGGTACCAGGGGTGGGTGGAGGGCACCAGGATGGGTAGAGGCACCTGGGTGGGTGAGGGCACCAAGGGTGGGTGGAGGGCATCAGAGGTGGGTGGAAGAGGGGTGGGGTGGAAGAACACCAGGTGGGTGAAGAACTTCAGGGGTTGGTGGAAGGCACCAGGGGGTTGGTGGAAGGCACCAGGGTGGATGGAAGGCACCAGGGGAGGGTAGAGGTACCAGGGTGGGTGGAGGGCACCAGTGGGTGGGTGGAGAGCACCAGTGGGTGGGTGGAGGCACCAGGAGTGGGGGGCACCAAGGGTGGGGCATAGAGGGTACCAGGGGTGGAGAGTGAAGTGAAAGGCATCAGGGGTGGGAGGAAGGCATCAGGGGTGGGGTGAAAGGCACCAGGTTGGTTGGCTGGCAGTGGAAGGAAGGCGAGGGGTGGAAGGGATAGGGGGAGGTGGGGAGGAGGGGTGGAAGGTGAGGGAAGAGGTGGAAGAGAGAGCAAGGGGTGGGTGAGGGGAAGAGGTGGAAGGAAGGGAGAGAGAGGTGGAAGGAGAGAAGGTGCAAGGGTGGGAAGGTGAGAAAGGGGTGAAGGTGAGGGGGAAGAGGTGGAAGGAGAGAGTGAGGGGTGAAAGGAGAGGGGGAAGAGGTGGAAAGAGAGAGCGGGGGTGGAAGGAGAGGGAAGAGGTGGAAGGAGAGTCAGGGGTGGAAGGAGAGGGGGAAAGTGGAAGGCGAGAGAGGGGTGGAAGAGGAAAGGGAGGTGGAAGGTAAGGGGGATAGGGAAGATTGGAAGGAGAGAGCAAGGGTGGAAGAGAGGGGAAAAGGTGGAAGGAGACCAAGGTGTGGAAGGGGATAGGGAGGGGTAGAAGGTGAGGGGGAAGAGGTGGAAGAGGAGAAGCGAGGGGTGGAAGGTGAGGGGAAGAGGTGGAAGGAGAGCGAGGGGTGGAAGGTGGGGATGAGGTGGAAGGTGATGGGGATGAGGTGGAAGGTGATGGGGATGAGGTGGAAGGCGATGGGGATATGGGGAAGGGATGGGGATGGAAGGCGGAGGGTGGAAGGGGATGGGAGGGAGGGGGGGAGGAGGAGAGGGGGGGAAGGATAGGGGGACTGGGTGGAAGGAGAGGGGCAGGAGGTGAAAGGAGGAGGTGAGAGGAGAGGGAGGGGTAAGGAGAGGGGAAGGGGGGAGAGAGGGAAGAATGGAAGGAGGAGAGAGGGGTGGGAGGGAGGAGAGAGGGAGGAGAGGGAGAAGGAGAGGGGGAGAGGAGAGTGGAAGGAGAGGGAGAGAAGGTGGAAGGAGAGGAGAAGGGGAGGAGGAAGAGAGGGGGGAGGGGAAGGGAGAGGAGGGGGAAGGAGAGGGAGAGGAGGGGGAAGGAGAGGGAGAGGAGGGGGAAGGAGAGGGGGAGGAGGTGAGAGGAGAGGGGAAGGGTGAGAGGAGAGGGGAAGGGGTGAAAGGAGTGGGAGAGGGTGAAAGAGGAGGAGGAGAGGTGGAAGGAGAGGGGGGTCAAAGGAGAGGGAAGGGGTGGAAGGAGAGAGACTGGCACTAGGATGTCAATTAGTGATAAGTATACATAGACCGTCATATAGGCATCAATTACATAAGATATTGTGTGGGCATCAATTAAGTTACACAAAAGCCATCATGTGGGTGTATCAGTTCATCACAAGAGGATCATATACAGTATGCCGTCATGTTCAGTGTACAAGTAGTACTTGTTATGTCTTATCAATAAGTATACCAAGGCCTTGGTATACCCTTTCTAAATCTTTTTGTTATGGAAAAAATAAGTGAAGTGTTTAACATCCATTTTATTAAAAACTGACTGACAAAACAGACTTCAGTACACATGACACACAACATGGTGACATCATATTAATTTTCGTCATGTAAATACTGATCTTATCCTTTGGTTTAACATATATAAACAGTAAAGAACAGTATTATTATTACCCAAATTGGAGAGACATGAGGATTCTGAGTAAATAATTCTGCATCGCTCACTTCAAATGTTTGCTTCAACTGAGGCTCATACACATTGTTGCCAACCACACCATGTGCCTCTTCATACATACCTGTGGCAACTGAGAAATGGTTGGGGAAAGTCTTGGTTACAAACTGATTTCTGGAACAAACATCAGAAGTACAGAATCAATGACATGGTCGGAAATCATAAAACTAAAAAAAAAAAAAAAAATGCAAACAAAATGAATATATGATTAAGTTGATTTAATCAATATATATTAATCAAAAGCAATACACAATTGGGTAAGCAGAACAAAATTAACCTCAACACAAAATTATACAGTCTAGAAATAAAATTAATTATGAGTTTAAAGTTCCGTTTGCTGTACACTGAAAAATTGCGCCGTCAACGACAGACCACATTAAACAGGTTCTTTGCCTCAGGACCACAGCCAGCAGTAAAAGAAGATGATGAACTATAGGGAGAGGCAGTGATCCTCCATCTTCCTCCCAGTAACTCCAACTGCACCATCTTACCTAAATCAGCTCTCAACATCATTTCTGGTAAGTAAAATTTGAGTGTCTTGTTCACTTATTATCATGTTACATCATGAATGACTCATTGTACATGGTTAAAACCATCTAATTTTATACATACAGGTATATGTGCTCGTGTTACATTTTTGGGCCTCAAAAATTTTAAATAGAAACACATCTAAACTTAAATACATTGTAATCGCTCATAGGAGCGATGTTACCGCCACAGAGATATAAGCTAGAAGAGAGAGAGAAAGAGAGGGATAACCATAATAAGATAAACTAGGCGAGAGAGAGAGAGAGGGGGTGAGATAAGAGATATAGTGTTGACAACGAATTTGCTGACCAATCTGCTGAGGTGTTTCAATACGAAAACATATGGCCCTCGCCTCCGGGCTGAGATTGCCCTCAAGGGTAGTCTACTGATTTCTACAGGACAGACAACACGTTGGTTCAGACCACTAGACCCTAAAACGTGAGTGATCGTGAAGTATTAGAATCTGCTAAGAAACTCTAAATAACTTTAATAAGTATATTTGTGTACTGTAATTTGATCATATTATACCAATTGTCTCCTGTATCAATAGTTATAACATGTGAGTTATATTTAAGATGTTAACAGGCTATGTACTGTATATTATTGTATTATTCATACTATGTGTCCTGAGATAACAGCATTTGTTATATGAGAAATGTTCTTTAACAGGTTTTGTCCGAATTATATGGTACGCGTCAACGTTGAGGGTTTATTTCTCCAGCAACAAACCAATAACGCTCCTATGAGCGTTAACAAGCGATTTTGGTTTGTGCAGGACAATAAGACCCTTGTCGTTGATGCGATGAGTATAATTCGGTCAAAACCTGTTGAATACGTACAATTCACATATAACAACTGCCGGTACATCAGGACACAGTTTGAATAATACGATCAATATATAGTACAGTTGGTCCTCATATTACGCGGTCCCGCATTCCGCGTTTCACCGTTAACGCGGTGCCTTGCCAGAACCTAACATTTTCACATTCCGCGGTCGTGAACCCCATTACGCGGAGAGCGGCTGGCAAGCCGCGCCATTTTTGGATCCAAACCTCCCGCCATCCGCCATGTTGTGTAAGAGGCGCGAAAATGGTGCGCACAAGGTCGCCCAGTCATCAAAACATTACCGAGTTCTTCACCCGCCACCCACTACAGCCGGCCCAAGTCAGTGATAGTGATAATTATAGTGAGGATATGGACTTATATGAACTTTGGGGGGTTTGACAAAGAGGCCCTGCAAGCCTCTGTGGTGGATAGTGATACAATTGATACAAGTGATACAGGTGAGGGCCAATAATCTGCCCTCTGCCTCGGAACCAACCGCCCATCCCCGTGTGCCCAGCCATCTTTTCTACTAATGTAAGTGTTAAAAAACCTAATATTATTGATATTTCTCTTAATTATTAATTGTGTGTGCATGCCATCATAAAGTTAAGATAATATTTTTACTACAACATAGTTGTGTGTCGTCAAAAAGTGGAGTTTGGGGATCGGCCCGGACTCCATTTCAATTAATCCCATATGTTATGTTATTCACTTTACGCGTTTCTCACTTTCCGCGGTACCCTCCGGGTTACATTAACCGCGTAATATGAGGACCAACTGTACACTTATTAGACTGATTTAGAGTTCTCAGAGGATTCAACAGTTCACAATCACAATCACGTTTTAAGGTCTAGGGTTAGACCAACGAGAACTAATATAATGTCCTGCAGGAAAAATGTTGGCAGACGAGAATCAAGATGTTGCCTTTACAGTAGAGGGCAATAGACTGTCCCTCAGACAGTCACACAACTGCTACCAGCTCCATCTCGCTTAGTAAGCTATTCTGAGTTGTAAACAGTTTCTTCACTTAACATGTGGCCGGCGTGCACAATTATGTGTGGTGATAACACTCCCTCTGTCGGGCTTCGCACGAAATTACGGCCTACCATTAGATTCACTCTCCGATCCCTTCCAACAAGCAGAGTCTCGTCGCTGGGCGTATTAACACCGAGTCCTTTGTCTTCACTTTAACACTTCACACCAGGCCATCTGTGCTCGGTAGTGCCTCCAGTACTCTCTCTAGCATCCACTGACTCCTGGGGAAGGGTTGTCCAGATATGCTCACGATATCCCCAGCATGGAGATTACGGCGAGTTTTGAAGAATCTTTGTCACTGACGTAGTGTCGGGAGATAATTCTTTACCTACCTCTTCCAAAATTGGCCCGCGATGAATTGGGCATGCTTCCATTTTCTGGCAGGTCGGCTTGGCATTGGTGGGTAGGCCTCCCGTTGTTTCTCCGACAACTCACACAAGTCCATATTGTGCAGTCGAATAATTTGCAGAACTTAGGTATCCAGTACCGTATATCTCGGCCTATAAGACGGAATTTGAACCATAAAAAAATAAGCCCAAAGTTAGGGGGTTGTCTTAAGCACCAGATATAAAATTCTTACCTCTTAAATATTGCGGTTTAGCGTGTCAAGAGTGGTGATGGAAACATCGTAAACCACTCACAAGGTCCTACCACTAATTATTTTATACTGAAACTTACGTTTGGGAAGCTGGATTAAAATTAAGATTACCGGTACAGCTAGACCCCGACTTACGACGGGGTTAGGGACCCAAATCCAGGTCGTAAGTCCGAATGGTCGTAAGTCCGACATAGATAAAAAAAAAAAATTAATACAAAATCTACAATGAAATACAGTACAGTAAAAGTAATAAATAATGAGGAATGGATACAGCGTGACTGAGCACTTACCTTTAATATAGTCAGCTGAATGCGCATGGGGCCCCCATAATTTTCTAATTATACATGGAGACTACATTAACTGGAAACGTTTTGGTATAGAAAATGTGTGTGTCATTTTGGGGGGAAAAAAAAAAAAAATGGTCACAACTGCAGCGGTCGTAAGTTCCGACCGTCGTAAGTCGGGGTCTAGCTGTATATTCCTCCGGCAGCAATCCGCGTATGTTAAACCTGCGTATGTTAAGGGCCGACTGTACAGTCGGCCCTTAACATTCGCGGGGGTTAGGTAACAGAGATACCCGTGAATGTTAAAAATCCGTGTACTATTGCTGCCCCCCCCTAAAAAATCCCTGGCCCCCCATGTCCTTATTTACCGTATATACCTGTGTGTAGTTCGAGTTTTTAAGACCAAATTATTTGGCAAAAATTGGGGGTCGACCTCTAAATGGGTAATAGTTTCGTTAGGCTGAAAAATATTTACCAGTAATTACCAGTAAACAATGGAAACGATGCACCAACACACCACCAGCTGTGAGTGTCGGTACAGTTGCCAGGGCAGATCTCTTGCGTCATCATAGCAAGCCCAAAGTAGCCAAATCCATGGTATGGTAGCACAGGACGATGTAAAACAAAGTATTCATTTATTAAAGTTAATTTATAGATACTGGACATAAATTTTTGTTCATTACATTTGAAACATCAATCTTTGTTAATTAAATTTGAAACAAGAGAAAACTACGATACTGGATTTTCATTAAAATATTACATCACAAGTATATTTTACCTTAACTGTGACTGAATGAATATATTCTCGGAAATAAATATGGAAATGTAATATTTTTGCTGGAATGACGTACATATTATAGTGGGAAGTGGGATAAAATCATGACGAAAGACTTTCGCTTTCTTTCGTTGTTCAAAATATTTTACCGTAATCGCTTTTCGAATGGTTTTCAGTTAAAAAACTGTTGTACTCGTACTGTATTACAATAATATTCTATCCTATCATTAGCCTTATAATCCACAACTGAAAACCATTCGAAAAGCGATTACGGTAACATCTTTTGAACGAAAGAAAGCGAAAGTCATTGCTTTCGTCACTTTCCACTGTAATACGTACATCATTTCAGCAAAAATATTACATTTCCATGTTCTCAGAAATAAATGGTAGTTTTGTTGAAACGTAATGTACAGTATTTAACATTAAAATGCAAAAATAGCTATAAAAACAATTAATACACCCGTAATGTACTGGCTGGCATCTCCACTCCTCCCCGCTCTATCCCTCCGCCTCCTCCACATCGTCACTACTGTTGTATTACAATAATATTCTATCCTAATTGACTTGAATAAATACTACGATACCATATTTCTGAATATTTTCATTAAAATCCATCCAAATCATTTTCCTTGCCATCGTCTGCAGCACCAAACAGCTTCTCCCAGTCCTCTCCTTGAACACTGCTAGAGGGTACGTGTTTTTCGAATCGTTTTCAATTAAAAAAATGTTACATCACACGTATATTTTACCTAAACTGCGCCTGAATGAATATATTCTTGGAAATAAATAGTAATTTTGCTGAAACGTGATGTATTTCAATATAAAATAGGATAAAATACATGACGAAAACAAAAGACTTCACCTAACCTTCCAATGTTCAAGAGATGTTACTCGTTTTTTTAATAGTTTTCCTAGGTTAAAAAATACATTTATATTACAATGATATTATATTCATACTGTGCTTGATATACTACATTCACAGAAATGAAATATTTTTTTCTTTGAAATAGCGTAAATTATTACAAGTG